ACATATTGTGCCTCACAGTCGTTTAAGCTGGCAAGACTTTAAAGTACACACAAATCTGAAGTAGTGTGTTGGAAATATTTGATTTATGTTAAACAGCACTCTGGAATTTAAACATTCGTATGCTCAACCAAACCCTATTCCTAGCCAATCGGTTCACTGATCAGCTTACATATATCGTTCCAACATACACTGCCCAGCTACGTTTAATATTTAAGATTCTTAAAGACCTTTTTGTGTTTTTTAAATAAATCTTATTTCAAGTAAATTTCCTGAGCTGAAAAGAACCACCACCACAACAAAATAATACCAAAAATGGCTCTGTGCTATAAAAGGCACTGCTTATATTGAGTGAACTCTGCCTCTAACAAGAACCTTCTACAGAGGGAACTAAGATGGCAAAGCCACGTAGGCCCTCAGTCCAGTAAGGCGCACGAAGCAGCGTGTCAGAAAGAAATTGTTTTTCTGCTCCTTTTGATGGGTTATGCTTTCAAGTCAGGAAATTAGAAACAGGTGTGCCACAGGGCACACACATCCTCGCTCCACACTGAATAACACGCGTTTTCAATTTTCAAACATGAAAGGGACTCCTGTTGAATGAAAGAAGAAATGAAAATCCAGCTCTGTTTCTGCGAACCATATGAAGGGAGCTTAGAAAGCCTTTGACAAGTTGCTCGACTTACTCCCTCTCCAACTGACAGCAGGTAGTAGTCGACAATAGGAAGGAAAAGGCATTCTTTCAAGTGAGAACAATCAAAGGGAGAATTACATTAAGGATCACAGCACTGGCATTTTAACCCATCACTTGATCTTATGCTTCTGTTTCTACCATTTCTTCACCTTCTGTTTTAAAATTAGAAGTCTGTTCTTTCAGAAAACAACAACAAAGCAATGCAAAATAAGTATCTGGCAAAAAAAAAAGAAATCTAAGAAAGTACAAACATCAAAAAGAACATCTTGGGGCTCACCTGATCCACTATAACCCAACTCTAAATAATCTCTTTCAAAGAAATATTTACTATTCTTCATGATGTCCTGAGCTCTTCTAGGGTGCTGGAGACATTTCAGTGAGTATATGAGTGTGATGGGTAAGCTAAACTTAAAGGCAACTGGTTTTGGCAGGATTTGAGGGAAGGGTGTGTGACAGGAAACAAGATGTATTAATGGCAGCAGCAACAGTCAACGCATTAGGTGCACGGAGGTGCCTGCAAGTGACCTTCTGGGGGGCACAGTAGTATGCATTCCTTAGGAGAATGGATGCAGCAGAACTCCGTTCAGGACTAGCAAGCCTTTAGTATATCCAACATATCAACATATTTCTATACTGGCAATAGGAAACTTCCCTATACTATCAAGTATGGACATAGATTTCATGCCCTTTTAGGACACAGAACATCATGACTTCTCCTTTACCATTCCCAGACTATAGCACAGGATAAGAGCCTCTAAAATAGGTACTGTTTTATAACATGAGAGCAATTACAAGTCATCTTACATAAGAGCAAAATACCTGCACTCATGTATGCATGAAAAGACATCCTTCATATCCCTTAAAATTATATTTCGAAGAAGATTTAATGACACATTTTTCATTATACAATATTAAATAAACAAAGCATAACACAAGCTGAACAGTTTTGCCGTTTTTGTTTTATCTACCAAAAATATTAATACTGCCTACAACAGGATGGCAAAATTATCAGTTTCATTTTCCAAATTCTTTTCAATGAGCATATGTTTTCACAATTAGGAAAAAATCCATTCATTTAAGACCTCTAAGATACATGATAACCAAAGCTGTCATACTGAACTGGTTTCCTAGGAAATGACCTAGCATAATTCAGAATTCTACTTTATTTTGAAACATCAGTGACTTTACTTATGTAAAAAGCAGGAAATAATATATTAATAGTTCATCAGATATGAAGTGACATAATTAGAATAAGCAACAGTCTCAGAATAGAATTCCCATCCCAGATAATTACTTTAGTTCTTAGAAATGTGCTGGTAGTTTAAATACTCTGTTATCTATAAATGAACAATATTTCTTCCCTGCCCCACCCCAGCCAAATGGTCCAAAGAGTCAAGTGCTTTTAAGATGATAATGTCAGGGTTTTATCTATGCTCACATCTAGAAGTTACAATTCACAGAAAAAGATTTCTCATGGCATGATTCCCAACCTACATATTACATACCAAATTATTTCAGCTTAAGTAGCTGTTCATTACCCTGAGCCCCCGAAGATTCTTCTTGAGTGTAACAAGATTATGCAACAGGAATAGCACTGCCTAATAAGGCAGATAAAGGGAACGAGAGTGGGCTGAAGAGTCTGGATTCCAACTCAGTAGAACTAACAGCAATATATTTAACTTGTTGACCAGTTTTGCCTCCCATTGAACAATCTCAGAGATGAAAGATCAATCTTCCAAAAGCATGAGCATGTCCCTAATCAAAAAGATCCCTACTTCATACAAAAGAAAATTTAAATACTAAGTCAAGGCCATCTAGGACCCCAAATTAAGCTCCACATACCTTGCACTTACCCCTCTATTTAAGCATCTTCCATTCTCACCAGAATAACCACTCTCAACACTTCCCTTACCTTCCTCTCAGGCCTGAATCATCTGGGCTTGACCTAGCTCACTTCGCCTGTTATGGACTAATTGTTTGTGCTGCCGCCACCCCCGCCCCCCGCCCCCACCAAATTTATATGTTGAAGCCCTTATCTCCTACATGATGGTATTTGGGGAGAGGTAATTAGGGTTAGATGAAGTCATAAGGATGGCACAAGATCACTCCATCTCTCTCTCCTTCCCTTCTTCTCTCCCTCCCTCTGCCATATGAGGGCATAGCAAAAAGGCAGTTGTCTGCAAGCCAGAAAGAGTACCCTCACCAGTAACCGAATCTGCTGGTGCCATGATCTTGGACTTCCCAGTCTCTAGAACTAAGAGAAATAGATGTCTGTTGTTTAAACCACACAGTCTATGGTATTTTGTTATAGTAGCCCAAGCTAAGACACTACCCCAGTGTATTTATTTGTTCATATTCAATTCATTCAACAAACATCATCAGAGGCTCTACCTGATAAGTACCATCCACGTATCAGTGAAGAAAATTGATGAAAATCCCAATCTTCATCGAGTTTACCAGTAAAGCAGGGTAGAAAATAAAAATAAAGTAAATAAATGAAAGATATAAAATTAGATAATGATATATACTATGAGAAAAAATAAAACATGGAAAGAGAATAGGGAATGTTGGCTGAGAAAATTTACATGTTTAAATAGGGTAGTCAGGAAAGATCTCAGTAAGAAGGTGAACCACCTGAATAAAGAGTTGATGAAGTGGGAGGCAGCAGCTTCAGCTACTAAGGGCAGAGAGCTAACAGGAAAGGAAGGCAAAGGTCCTAAGGTGGTAGTGTGAGTGGCATGTTTAAAGTACAGTAAAGCAGCCAATGTAGCTGGAACTGAATGAGCAAGGAAGGAAAAGCAAGAGTTGGAGTCTGAGAAGAAAGTGGGGAACACATATATCAAGCCTCAGAGGCCCTTCATAAAGACTTTGGCTTTTCCTCTGAGTCAGAAGGGAAGTGACTGGACAGTTCAAAGAAGTATGACATGATTTTGACAGGTTAGAACACCAACTCTTGTGTTGAGAACTGAATAATGAAACAAAAGAGCAAAAAACAAGGTATCAGCTAGGGGGCTACTGAAAGAATCCAGATTAGATGTGATAGCACTTTGAATCTATTGGTAGCAGTGGAGGTGCTAAGAAGTAACGGACTGTAAATATATTTAGAGAGAATACAGTTTGTTGTTGGATTGGATGTGGCTGCTTTGTACCTCTGACAAAAGTCCCTGGGGACAAGGTTTACAGCACAGACTTAACAGACAATCTCCCACAAAAGGGCAGAGGAAGACTTGTGGCTGCTTGTTAGGTTAAAGAACCAAGGAAGGGTAACATTAATTCCCAGCCCTTGAGGAAGAGGGCTGGCTCAGAATCACTGGCTCACAAATATTTAGGCAAAAGCCTGGTCTCATTTTTTGCATTTTTTATCACCCCAACCTTTGAACCTACTCCTGGCAAGCCATGGCCAGCCACATCATCACCACCCTCAGGGTTCCAGAACTATCCAGAGCCAAAACCTGGAAAATCAAAGAACCTACAAAATCAGAAATCACTGGGCCACATACCAGAAACCAAGTAGCAGAGCTTTCTTCTTGCCAAAATACTTTAAGGAAGGGGGATTGAAGCCTGTGTCTTCTGAACTCCAGTCAGCTGCCATATAACCCCTGGACTCACTGTTTCTCTTAAAGAAAAAAACATACTGCACAGACAAGTAACAGCATACCAATGTTAAGGTCAATCAGAGCATAAACTTAATCTCCTTCTTTTTTCTTCCTTCTGATCTTCTAATCCTCAATCTGCTCTTCCTTTCCATAGCCAGAAAAGACCACAGATGTATCTGACATTATGCATCTGACGTGTTACTGAAAAATTATGTGTGATTCTGACTTTGGCAAATTAAATCAAATTTTAAAGTACTATTTAAAGAAATTCCATGGTGAATAATCTTTTTGAAATGACATCCATCCTTCTATAAGAGGGAAGAATCACACGCACATTTCTTTCATTTAATGAAATATATGACATATAACATTGTGTAAATTTAAGGTGTACAACTTGTTAATTTGATACATTTATATATTGTAATATGATTGCCACTGTAGCAATAATTAGCACCTCTATCACATTACATGATTATACTTTCTTTTTAGTGATTGGAATAATTAAGTTCCAGTCTCTTGGCAATGTTGATGATTATAATAATCATTTGTCTTAATTTTAATTTGTCTAGTAAGCACTTACTAAGTGCAAGGCCCTGTGCCAGGCACTCAGGAAACACAAATATACCCACAGATCCCCTTTTCTCAAGAGCTTATGTCAGTGCTTAAGAAAGCCTAAAATAAATTGTTATTTTCACACACACACACACACACAAAGCTGAGAATAAAAAAAGCTTTTATTAAAATTTATCAATTCTAAAGTATATTTTTTTCCACATTCAAAATTTTCTGAAATCAGTCCATACATTATAATTGATGGCATCCTCCTGTGACTGCTCTCCAGGCTGCAGCTATGACATAGCGACCACTGCCTCTAGAAGGAGGTAAGCTGTTCCTGTTGTTGACCCTTCAGTTGAGTTATGTGCCATGTTGGAACTATAAGTTTTGAGTTTAATTGTCATTTACCATGTATTCAAAAGTATTACAGTATGATACAGAATTGAAACAAAAAGTAATTATGAGCATAAGAAGGCATGGAAATAGCAATGGAGCATGACATTGTTATCAGTGCAGCAAATACTTCTTGTTGGAGGAATACCCCCAAATTCTGTATTTTCTTGTAAAGCAACAACCATGTGTTAAGAGTGATGAGAAAGAAGTGTGTCATTCTATAACTGGCAGTCTTCCCCCCCCCCACCCCCGCTTAGTATATGTATCTTATATTGGTATATTTTAGTCCTGGATATGACACTAAACATATAGGCAACAAAAGCAAAAATGCGTAAGTGGGACTACATCTAGCTAAAAAGTTTCTGCACAAGATAAGAAATAATCAACAAAATGAAAAAGCAACCTACAGAATGGGAGAATATATTTACAAACCATATATCTGATAAGGGGTTAATATCCAAAAGACATGAGGAACTCCTACAACTCAATAGCAGAAAAACAAATAGTAAGATTAATACATCAGCAAAGGACTTGAATAGACATTTCTCCAAAGACATACAAATGACCAACAGGTACATAAAAAGGTGTTCAACCTCACTAATCATCAGGAAAATGCAAATCAAAATCACAATGAGACATCACCTCATACCTGTTAGAATGGCTAGTATCCAAAGGACAAGAGATAATAAAGGTTGGTGAAGATGTAAAGATATTCACAGCCTTGTACACTGTTCATGGGATTGTAAAATGGAACAGCTGCTACCGACAACAGTATGGAGGTTCCTCAAAAAATTAAAATAGGACTATTATAGGATCCAACAACTCCACTTCTGGGTATTTATCCAAAAGAACTGAAATCAGGATCTTGAAGAGATATCAGTGCCTCCATGTTCACTGCATCATTTTTCATAATAGCCGAGATGTAGATACAACCTAAATGCCCATCAACAGATATATGGATAAAGAAAACATGGTATATGTATAATGGAATATTATTCAGCCTTTAAAAAGGAAAGCCCTCCATATACAACATGGATAATCCTCAAAGACGTTATGCAAAGTGAAATAAACCAGTCACAGAAGGACAGATACTGCATGATTCCACTTCTATGAGGAACCTAAAATAGTCAAACTCACAAAAGCAAAGAGTAGAATGGTGATTGCCAGGGGCTGGAGGAAGGGAGAAATGGGGAGTTGATATTAATGAAGTTTTAGGGCACCTGGGTGGCTCAGTCAGTTAAGTGTCCAACTCTTGAATTTGGCTCAAATCATGATCTCAGGGTTCTGAGATCGAGCCCCACATCACGCTCCATGCTGGGAGACTCTCTCCCTCTCCCTTTGCCCACCCCCCTCAAAAAAATAAATAAATAAATAAATAAATAAATAATAAAGTTTCACTAATGCAAGATGAATAAAGTTCAAGGGATCTGTTGTACAATTTGTGCCTAAAGTTAAAAATACTGTGTTATACATTAAAAGATTTAAGAAAATAGACTGCATCTTGTATTCTTACCATGATAAAAAAAAATATGAATCAACCAATTTTTTTAAAATAATGGTGTATTTTATAAAAGATAGTGACTTAGATTCAGTGACACATTGTTAAGTATTGAACCACTACTCTGAGCCAAGAAGTATGCTAACTGCCTTCCATATGTCGACTCATTCAGTACTCACAGATATTAAGGTAGATATTCTTGGTTTACAAATAACCCTTGCCAAGTCACAGCCAGTGAGCGAAAGAGTCTGCACAAGAACCCCTGTATATACTCTACTGCCTTCCAAGCTAGACAAATTTCCATGATGCCAGAACATTAGTCAGAGTTTGCACAGCTAGCTCCTGCCATACTACTCTCTTCCCCACTCCCCACTCATTCCTTCCCACCCAGTGATGAGAACAAGATGCTGGAGTTTATCCCTGAGGCTAATGATCAAATTGCCTGTCTGGCCTTGGGAGAGCCCTATCTTGACCATAACTATCTTCCCTCTGCCTTTCAATTATTACCTTCCAAGAACTATAAACATAAAATGTAGGCCAGGTCTCTAAATCTTCTGCAACAGCCTAAAGCACCAGTTTTTTTTAGTTTGGCCAAACAATTGCAAAATTCTGTGCACCACATTTCTTCTGACTTGGTCACCCAACTCTGCCATGTGTTTCCATTGTCAACCTCATAGCAACAGCCCCAGGAGAAACAAGAGTGAAGCAATCACACAAAGTCCCAGGGATGGAAGGAACCGGAGACTTGCTCTATTATCCTCAGGTTATGGGGGCTGATAACTGTTAGTCCTTAAACTTCAGAAGGATATAACATGACAAACTGGGCATCCAAATTTAAAAGCTGCACTCACTGGATGTCATGAACTAGAAACCTAAATTTATCTTTAGCCATGTGAAACTATCTTCAGTTGATGCAAGATGTGCAAAGGAGGCAATATGCAAGGGGAAGGGAAAAAGACCTTAATTTTACAATTTTAGCTTTACCCACCCAATGCATTCTTAACAGAACCAAATCAATGAAATGTGATCCTATTCCAACTTCCATATCACCAATTTAAAAAAGGAGAAAGGTGGACAATCCCAAAGAGATTGCATTTCTTTTCCGAAATGACAGTCAGGCAGCTTTCAGGATTTCAACTTAAAGTAGAATCTAGGTCTCCAAATGTCTAGACATGAAAGTAACACTTAACGATGACAAACCAACTCACTGAATAACATATTGACCAAAAATAAAGTCAAAACAACATATGATAACTAATACTACTTTGGGAAAATAAAAATGAAACAATGAATTATCTATTTTAGACTTCTGTTTGTTCAAATACCACAATTTTCTATAGACATAAGGCCATACTTAATTTGTGCACAAGCTAATTCCTAAATATTATGCATAGAGATTTTCATGTGCCACCAATATTAAATTAAAAATTAACTCATATTGGGGCACCTGGGTGGCTCAGTCGGTTAAGCGTCTGACTCTTGGTCTTGGCTCAGGTCGTGTTCTCAGGGTCGTGTGATTGAGCCTCCATGCTCAGTGTGGAGTCTGCTTATCCCTCTCTCTCTGCTCCTCCCCCCGCTTGCTGGCGCACATGGTCTCTCTCTCTCTCTCTCTCAATTAATAAATAAATAAAATCTTTTTAAAAAATTAACTCATATTTTATATTATACTCATCTCTTCAAAAGTGAAAGAATGAAAATCAATTTTTTGCCAATTATAATTAGTATGGTTAAGGTTCAACATTAATTTGTGTTTGGACTTCACCTGATAGGTCAGTGGCACACAATTATTTTTTCCACTGATGCAAGGAAATGGACAGAAGCAACAAATATGAAAATGGTACCAAGAGGTCAAGTCTGAGCAAAGAATAGGATAGTGATGGCAATAAAAGAGAGAGAGAACACAGGAGAAATTTGGTAACCAAAGGATGGGAATAATGAATAAGGTATTTCGTTGAGCCTGCTGAATCTGATATGCACAGATGATACCCAGAGGGACATGTCCAACAGGAAATCAGAAAAAACTCATGTGGCCCTCGAAAGAAAAGTCCAGAAGAGATAGACATGGAAGCAAATACCATAAGAGATTACTGCTAAGATCTTGAGAACAGCAATAACACCAAATCACCAAGAGAAAGCATATAGTGAAATGAAGAAAAGCTAAGAGAGGCCCAACCCTGGAGTTGGTAGCAATGGGAAGAGTCTGTGAAGAAGGCCAGGATGGAGCAGATCAGAGGAGCAGGACAAACCAAGAGAGTTCCAGGATCTATGCTATAATAGAAAGGAGAGAGACACCTGTATCAGAGATCACAGAGTCAAGAGCAAGCAGGAAAATAGGGCTAGGCTGGATTGGATGGTTTGTTAGTATAGTGATACAGAAACCAATGTGGCAAGAAACTGAAGAAAGGAAGGAAAGGCAGCCATATCCATCCTCCTGATAAAGCCTGATGATATGAAGGAGAAAGGCCTAGGACTGTAATTTGAGAGATAACACAGCAAAGGGGATGAACCAATATTATTTTGTCAACCACGCATACCACCACATTGAGAGAAAAGGCTTCAAGTACACCTGGCACAAGCATATGAAAACCTGGATCCAGACAACAACCATTCTGCCCATTAGCTGCCCCCAACACACACACACACAAAATTTCTAAATGAGAATGACTTCCTTTTTTTTTTTTTTTTGGTAGTAATGTGATTTGGGTTTTTTTTATTATTCTTTTTATTATTTTTTTATTATGTTCCATTAGCCATGTGAAATGGCTACATCATAAGTTTTTGTTGTAGTGTTCAACAATTCACTAGTTGTGTATAACACCCACTGCTCATCCCAACATGTGCTCTCCTTAATACCCACCAACCAGTTATCCCATCCCCTTACCCCCCTCCCTTCTGTAACCCTCATTTGTTTCCCGGAGTCCAGAGTCTCTCATGTCTCTCTCTCTGATTTCTTCCCATTCAGTTTTCCCTCCCTTCCCCTGTGGTCCTCCACTCTATTCCTTATGTTCCACATATGAGTGAAACCATATGATAATTGTCTTTCTCTGCTTGACTTATTTCACTTAGCATAATCCCGTCCAGTTCCATCCATGTCAATGCAAATGGCAGCAATGTCCACAATAGCCAAACTGTGGAAGGAGCCGAGATGCCCTCAACAGATGAATGGATAAAGATGTGGTACATATATACAACAGAATATTACTCAGCCATCAGAAAGGATGAATGATAATGACTTCTAACACAGATACAAAAAGAGGACCTACATTTAATTAAAAGTGTAGTTAGAGGAGTAGATGTCATAATATATACAATTTGAGGGCGCCTGGGTGGCTCAGTCGGTTAAGCATCTGACTTCGGCTCAGGTCATCATCTCAGGTTCCTGGGATAGGAACACGGGGGCTCTCTGTGCAATGGGGTCTTCTTCTCCTTCTCTCTCTGCCCCTCCCCATGCTTATGCACTCTCCCTCTCTCTCTCTCTCTCAAATAAATAGTTTAAATATACACATATATGTATGTGTGTGTGTATGTGTGTGTGTATATATATATATATATACATTTTGAAATATACCTTATATTTTCTGCCCCAACATTTTACTCAAGAGATTACCTAACTTTTTGAAATACCTTATTACTTTTATATCTTTTGTAATCTAAATTTGGCACTATCATGAGTCACTAGAGGAAAAAAAACATCAAAAATATAACTGTTATAGTTAACTCCAGAGTTGTAATGAAATGTTAGCAAAACATTTACACTGAGATACTTATATTGTGAAACAATCCTTAAAAGCTCCTACATATCAAAGATCTTTCATGCATAAATGCTCTTGTCTATGCAGTGTCTCAGCACATGCTTTATGTTTACTTAAAAATATTGTTTTCAATCATTAAATGACCTACAATGTTGCAGTTATGAAAAATGGTCATGAAAGCAGCAAATACCTGAGGTACTCACAGCTGTGGAGTAGGGATTATGAGCTCCAGTATTTTCAGCCCAGCAGCCACATCCATAAAGAGCAGCCTGGGAAAAGAGAAAACAGATACACAATGTATTTCAGAAATCTTATATGTAATTACTTGCTTTCAAAAGAAGACAAAATCATACCCATCTAATAAAGCCTGACTTAATAATGATGCATATCAACTGGGAAATAATACCAGAGACTGTGTAAGACCTACCCAAACAATGGTTCTAACACTATTTTAAACTATATTTTCAACTACTGTATTAACAGCAAATAGCAATTTTCTATTATATAGAAAATAGCAAAAGAAAGTTTCCTAGACTCTCACCAACAGTTTTTTTCTATTAATAGAAAATAGCAAAAGAAAGTTTCTTAGACTCTCATCAACAGTAGTTTTTTCCTTCCTTGAACAACCTTTCCCCTATTGTAGTTTGTCAGCCAGTTCGGAAAAACTCCTTCTCTTCTGGCTCCTTAAAATCATTGTGGTTGCCTTAAAATAGTGATTCTCAAACCAGGTATATGTCAAATTGCTTGAGAAGCTTGGTGATAGGACCGTGGTTCCCAGATATTCTGATTCAGTGGTCTGGGGGTTGCCCAAGGAATTGGCATTATTAACCAGGGCCCCAGGGGGGCTGGGATACAGGTGGTCCTCCTGGCATACTCTAAGAAACCCTGTTTAGAAGAGCTTCTGCCATGCCTCCCTTAAAATGGCACAAAAGGAACTGCAAACAGTTACTACCGAAGGGCCCAGCATATGCTCACCACTGTGCCAGATTCTCCAGCTATAAAGAAAGGAGCCAAAAAGATCAATTCAAGCTAATTACTTTATGAGACAGTAGAACAGATTTATATGCCTGAAACCACCAATAACACAAATTACTATGGTTTTATAAAAGAATATAACAATCATCCCTATTTTGTTTTTAATAATGCCACCCAGAATGCCTGGATTCATCTCTTCAATATCCACAATGACTTCTCTGCCTTTGGGAGGGGAACCGAACATTTCACTTGTGCATTTAAAATGTATTTAAAAGCATCTAATTTTAGCATATTTTTTAAAAAGTCATTTAAAAAGTCATTATTTTCAATATTTTGTATATTTTGTTTTCTTCCCTCTTGATCGTCAAGAAGAATGGTTTCTTACTGTCAACTGATGCTTTCATATTTCTAGGCTTATTACATCTCCTCTATCCAAGCAATATAATCCAATTAAGCAAATGCATTTTCCTGGTAAGTACCTTTACTCCTATCCACCACGCCCTTTCCTGATTTTTATCTCTCACAAACTGTGTCTTCATAAACTAGCTAAGAGGGGCAAAATCAGTATGTTTAAGTTTTATAGAAGTATTTCTTTTTCCAGGACAGTCCCACGTGGAATGGCTTCAAGATTGTTCAACGTAATATCCTGCTAACATAGTCCAGAACTATCCTTGGTTCTGTTGTTGCTATTTTACTAACCAAAACAAACAAAAAAAAAAACAGTGAGAAAGTCATGGGAATTGCAAGGCAACGAAGGCGGCTATGCTGGTTTTTCTCTCTCCTTCTCTACCAAGGCATCCAAATCTGATATGCCAAGCTTGGTTCTTATTCCAAACTTAACAAATACACAGGGCTCTATAATGTGGAAAAACACCATGACCAGACAAAGGCTTTTTATAATGACTTCAAAGCATTGTACACATGTTGAGTAATCATTCCCCATAAATCCCCCTGTATGGCAGGCAAAGAGTAGCACAAAATTAATTATTCTTCCCTACCTCATCCCCCCATGGCATTGTGAGAGGCTTATACAATATAAAGGGCAGATCAGGGAATATCACTTGGAGCTTTGCAAAGATGTCCTCCATGAATCAGATTACTCTGCTCCAAGCATTCTTTAACCACTATGTCCAAGGTAACTGTGATACCCACTTTTTTTCAAATGTGAGGGACAAAGTATACAGAGTACGCCAAGCAGTGCTCTACATGTAACACGAGAGCTAAGTACTCAGCTTAAGCACAACCCTTGCAACTACTTTACAGACTCCAGGAATCATTAGTTCACTCAACAAATATTTATTAATCCCATAAGTAATGTACCAAATTGGTTTGTGCTCAGAAAGCTTACTAGATCAAATGGATTGTGAAATATTCTCAGTACAAAACTAAAGTTTGGAGATGGGGGAAGGAGGAGTGGTGAAGATGAGCAAGTGAACTGGGAATATGCCAGTTACACATAAATTAGATTACTTGCGTGGTATCATCATGTCTTGGTGACCTTAAATACTGGTTAGTCTGTAAAATAGCTAAAATGCTTAATCAGAAGAGGGATTTAGAGCGTCAAAATTTCTATTCCTTGAATGGAGGAAATACACAATGTAACTCTAAAATCATTTCCCACTTAAAAAGCAAGCAACAATATAGTCAGGTAGTGTTTACTCCTAAAGAGAATGACATTTGCAAAGAAAGAAAATGAAGATCAACTCATTTTTTTTTAATGTCTACTAAATACCCAACACTCAGCCTGTTGGAAGTAACAAAACATAGTATTACTGATTTTAAAGATCAATAAGAACTCTATTACTATGAGAGAGGTTTTTTAGAATCTGGAAAAGGTACCTGCTCACTTGTACTATGTCAATGTTAAAAAAAAAATTCACAGTAATTTTTTTTTTTTCAAAAGAAAAAATGTTTTGCTGGCTTAAAAAAATGGTGAGCTAGAAAATTCCGTGTTTTAAATTGAAAAGCAAGTTTAAAAACCCCATAATTACTTACCTGTCCAACTCTCCCTGGATGTTTCAAGGCCAAGCCTCCACTGGAGACTGCAGCAGCAACATTCCCTTCGTGGTCCACCACTACAGCGCCCACTGTGTCCAAAGTGCCTGAGTCATTCTCCTGGAGAGCGAACAGGGCATGAGCACTCACTGAGCACGGGGTGTCACAATTCGATATGACCACATAGCACTTCTCAATACATACATAATTCACAATTCATAAATCATACATAATTCAGCAAACTCCTAAAACCATCTATTATCAAGTTGCCACTAAAACCCTGTTCAAGTCAAAATGTATTTTCTACCTAAAAATCCTGAGCAAAAGGTGTCTTATTACTTTTCTCTAATAATAAGCCTAGCATGCCTAAGAGAGAAAGAAAAAACACCATCTAATATAAAATAGTGTAGCACAGTGTCCCCTTAATCTCCAGTTTTAAGTTCATGATTGAAAATCTGTAAGAGTGAAAAGATCTATGGCATAAGTGAGCCAATAAATGCAATTATTAGTATTTTTAAAAATATTATATACAAATTTCTAAAAGTAATATACTCAGCACAATAAATAAAGAGAATGGCCGTCACAATCTTGAAAGTATACTATGCTATAATTTTCTTTTACAATTCCTTGCTTGTGAGAAATTGATGGCCACCTCCTTTCTCTGCCATATTAATAATATGCTTGCCAACTATATAACAGAAAACTATACATTCCTGGGAGGCATCTTTGCGTTTCTGTGTCTTGTCCCAAGTCCCACAAACTTAAGGCTTTTCACACGTATTGACTATAAGCAGCTGTCTCCTACCTCAAAGATTTCTGGGTCACCTGTGCAAGACAATCAAACCTTACAATCCTGGATAAAAATCAGAATTAAAGAAAACAGGAAAAAAGTTTCATAAAAAAACATCTCCTTGTGTATATTAACAAGGGAGGCTACTGCAGGTCTTTAGGTTAACAGAAGTCATTGCAGTGTTCTCACTCTAGAATACTGGTTTTTATTTTTTTTTATTTTTTTAAATTTTATTTTATTATGTTATGTTAGTCACCATACAATACATCATTAGTTTTTGATGCAGTGATCCACAATTCATTGTCTTCATATAATACCCAGTGCTCCATGCAGTATGTGCCCTCCTTAATATCAATCACCAGGCTAACCCATCCCCCCACTCCCCTCCCCTCTAAAACCCTCAGTTTATTTCTCAGAGTCCATACTCT